CAGGCTCCACTGCCCCGCTGGTCCCTGCCGCCCAGACTCTGCCCCGTGAGACATCCTCTGTGGGGGTGCTCCCTTCCCTGGCCTTTCCCGGGTCTGAAGCTGTGGCCTCCCGACAAGGAAGGGCTCCAGGGTCGGGGCCCCACTCACCGCTCCCGCTCCTCGCGGCCCTTGTCCAGCTCTCGGTCGTGGTTGGTCAGGGCTGAGACCCGCTCAGTGTCCATGGGCTTGGGCCATGGGGGTGGCGTGGGGAAGGATGGTGGTGTGCGGTGCAGCCGGTTCCAGGCCTCGTGGGGGCTGGGCAGGCCGTGCAGTGTGGAGCCCTCCTTAGGAGCAAAGATGCCGCCACCTGCAGCTGGGGAGGAGGGGGGTTAGGGGGGAACGTGAGGCAGCTGCTCCCCACCTGTGTCCCCCGTGAAACCGCAGGGCTGCCGGGGGAAAACACGGTCCCTAGATCCCAGGCCAGCACTGTGATGAGGTGTGTTCCAGAGTGGCTGCAGGGGACAGTCAGTCCGGCTCAGGGTGCAGCCCAAATGTACAGGGAACCCACTTTCACGTGTGCACGGGCAGATGTATGCACACGGGGAGAACTGGCCTGCGGGTGGGTCACTTACTCAGCGCGTGGCTGCCCAGGCCTCCGAAGGCGGTGCTGCCCAGGGTCCCCAGGCCCCCAAAGGTGCTCGATCTGCTGAAAGGGTCTGTAGGGGCAGCGGGGTCTCAGATGCCTGTGTGGCTCCAGAACCCATCGGGTGCCAACTACATAATCTCAGGAGTACCCTGGTTCTCGGGGTCACCTCCCCACCCATGGCCCCCCAGCCCTGAGGTCTGCAGAGACCCAGATTACACGGACCTCAGGGGGCACCTACCTGTCAGGTGACCAGTGGGCAGGAAGCTGCCGTGATGGGCTGAGGGTCCAAACTGGTTGGTGGCAGGATGGGCGGCACCTGGGGTGTGTGTGGGGGAGGGCAGGTTGGTGGAGCCCAGCGTGCACCTCGGGCCTCCTGTCTGGCTCACTCCCACGTGGGGCTCCCCAGCTTTCTCTGGGAATTGCTACCTCCCACTCGGAGGAAGTGATCAGGCAGGAGGCAGGAGGTGGGCTTCAGTCACCTCCCCAGCATCTGGAGGACCCCATGGGGGTGAAGGGAGGGAGGTGCTGATGGCAGCCTCCACAGGAAAGAAAAGGTGGGGGGCTGAAGCCAGTGACCCCAGTTTCCAACAGAAGCTAAGAGACAGTCCTGGTTGCCTAATGGGGTTCAGTCTTGGGTCCTAGCGGACACTGGCCTGAGTCACAGCTGCTAAAGACAGCAGCTTCTGCCATGGTGCTCTCCAGCTGCAGGCCACAGGTGTCACCATGGCATCAACCCTGGCTCCTGATGCCCCCACACCAAACCCGGGGGCAGCCGGGTGGGGCGCACACCCTTCACACTAGAGGGAGGATTTATGGTAAAGACAGTGACGTGGGCATCCCTTGTGTCTCTCCAGCTCCCTCCCTATTTGGGGATCGTGACAATGGTGCATTCTCGTCGTCTTGGTGGGCTGCCACAGAGGAGCCCCGCCAGATACACATGCACCATCTCATCTCCACAGAGTTCCCGGCGACAGTTAACCACACTGGTGACTTATAAGCCAAAAAATCAACCCAGAAATCAGGAACTAGCTTGCCCCAGTGCCAATGGACATGGCATCCCATGTGGACTGCAGCTGGGGAGTGCAGGGGAGACGTAGCACCGGGAAACGGCCCATGCGGACACTCCGGCTTCCAGCTCACAGAGTTGGGACAAGGTGGCAGTGCAAATAAGCAAGAAGAGAACAGGCCAGAGCCCAGCGCTGGACAATGCCCCACATGTGGGGTGGGCGCCTGGTGCCCTGGAGGGCACGGCCGTCTGGATGGGCATGGGACGGGGACGGGGGTGGGTGGGAGACTCAGGCCCTGAGCTGCACAGAGGGGGCTGAAGGCCACTACTGTGTGGGCTCCAGCCTAACCAGGCTCTTGGTCACCAGGGGCCTCGGCACAGACTCTGGAGACCCCACTGCTCAGGCCACCATGGTGTTACAAAGAGCCCCCATTCTTGTGAGGCCAGCCTGGGCGACCCCGTCCTCGCCCATGACCAATGACCACACCCACGTGCAGGATGGTAGCAGGCGGTGGTGAGTACACCTGGGGACAGCAGGGCGCTCTAAGGAGGTGACATCCTGCAGTGGCCCCACAGCGCTTGCGAGCAGGGCTGGCCCCCGGCGGGCGTCTGGGCGCTGGGATGGCAGGGCTCCCTCCCTTTATCTGGCAGGATGGCCGCGCATGCTGTCCTCCCGGGGTCAGTAGTTAGGTTCGTGCAGGCTGGTGCCTATGTGACCGGCCCCAGGAGAAGCCTGGCGTTGGGTCCCTAGAGCTGCTGCAGGCCCTGCATCGGGCTTCCTGCTGACTTGGCTCTGTGTCCCTTCACTGTGACATATTTTAGCCGTGAGTATGATTTATGTTAAGTCCTGGGGGTGCCCCTGGGGACCCGACACCACGACTGTGTTATGGCAGCTGGTGAGGGGGTGAACACTGGGGAACCCCGGAGCAGCTTCCGGCCCTTCTGTGAGAAACCAAAACCAGAGGGAGAGGTGGGAGCAGCCGCCCACCGGCCGCCCCTCCCCGGCCCCGGCACCCTTACCTGAGCTGGAGAAGAGGGGCCGGGCCACGTCCTGGGCATAGTGGAACCCTGCGAGCAGGCCCGGGCCCGGGGGTCTGCTGAACAAGTCCAGTTTGGTGCCCACCTCCAGCTTGTGGGGGTCCAGCTGCACCTGCCGAGAGGCAGAGTGCGTCAGGGCTGCCTGCCTGCGAGGGGAGAGCGTCGGAGGGCAACTCCACGTGCCACACGGCTGGACGCCAGGGCAGAGGCCGGTGTCACCCCACTGCTGATTCACCTGACCTGGGACGACCCAAACACTGTCCTCACACGTAACCCACAAGGATGCTTCCTCCTTTGTCTGTGGCCTTTGAAATCTGGTGTGCTTGGCATGTGATGCCAGCAGCCTCAAGCTGGACAATATTTTCATTGGAAACACTTTGTGTTGAGATTTTGGAGAACTGATTTGAAAAGGTAGAGGCACACACCCACGCAGGTCCAGTGACTAAAGTTAGCATTAGTAGTCAAGTTTAAACGTCCCTTCGCAATGACCACAGAAGGCAGCGTGATCACTGCCCGGAGCCCCCACTCCCCGCAGCGAGTTCCAGCAGTGGAGGTGCTTTTGCTGGTGGCAGTGCCGCAGGGGTGCTCTGTGCCCCTGCGAGGACACCCGCCTCCTTCTCTGACCTTCTAGGGGACCCGCACGAGCACCGCATACTGACACACACAGTGTTTTGTGACAAAGTCTGTTGTGTTGAGCTGGCCTCCATTACACATCCAAGTGTGGTGACTTTAAAATATTGTGCATGGAGGTAACGTGTGTTACCTGAGACGGCAGTAAAGGATGTTAGGACCCTTCAGTGCTACGGGGTCACCNCTCCTGTGCGAGGTGCATGGAGTCCTCCCGCCTCGCTTCACCCACACAGCTCCACCACCGGGTTCAGGGCCTGCCCACACTTCCCAGGACTGAGAACCCACCCCGTCTGTGGGTCTGGGGTGCAGGCATCGTCCCCCAGGCAGCCCCTTTCTGTGCTCCTGGCCACCCGCTCCGCCCAGACCTACGTCACTGTGTGAGCCTCCCTCCCTTCCTTGGGAGGCTCCGGTTTCTGAATTCCTGTCTCAGAGAAGACAGCTGGATGATCAGAAGCTGGAGATGGGGGCAGACTTGGTCAGCAGGTTCCCGGGTCGTGACCTGAACAGTCTGGGAAAACAGAATTCACTGTGCTTTGCAATGCAAATACCCTAGTAAAGAGCAAAGGGGACAGTTGAGTGAGGCTTAATGGAATCGCCTGAAGACCAGAGAGCCAGGGGGACACTGATGGGACCACGGGAGCCCACCCCTCACATCACAGGAAGAGAAACCAGGTGTCTGTCCCCAAGGCCCCACAGCAACAGAGCCCAGACAGAACCCAGTGTTGGTCTGAAGTCACATCGCAGGGTCCAGAGCTGGCACTCCCCCGAGGGGACAATCCCAAGGTGGGGGCTGGAAAGACCACACTGCAAGGGAAGGGAGTGAGAGTGACAGGGATGTTGGTGGCTGGGGACTCCGAGGGTCAGAGCGGGAAACAAGGGTGTGAGGCTCATGGTTCAGTGGGGGACATACCCTGACCCACTGTCCCATACATCCCAGACAGGGAAGACGTGACGTGGCCCCGTGGGCACCTCCCACAGCACCGCCAAGCTTTGAAGGATGCATTAGGTTTGGGGTCTCAGCATCACACCTGCTCCCCGCAGGGTTCTGGCCGATTGGAAGTGACTGCTGATGGGCTCAGGTTGTTCTGTGGGGTGATGGATTGTTCTGGAAGAAGACAGGTAGTGGTTGCACAACCTTGAGAATGCACTAAATGCCACTGAATTCTTCACTTTGAAATGGTAAATTGTATGTTAAGTGAATATCATTGCAATTTAAAGAATAAAAGCACTGGGGGCTAAATTGGGGCCAGATGGCCAGCAGGTAACCAGCCAAGCACCCACATGCAGCTCAGGCCAGACTAAGGTCAAAGCCAGGCTCATGGAGTCCGTCCGGGTCTGGAAGATGGAGCCACACGTGCCCGGGGCTTCCAGCCCACCTCCCACACCGCAGCCAGCTGGGCCCCAGGGTGTGGACAGGGTCAGGGTCGGGGAGGGCCTCTAGCGGATGGACTTGGGAAGATGGGGCGGTACCCCTCCAGCCACAGAGACGCTTAAACTGATGAAGGGCTCAGTTGTCCGGGGAGAAAAGGTTGTTCAGAATTCATTTTGCACTCAGCGCTAAAAAAAACGTGAGCTCTCATGGAAGAGACGTGGAGGGACCTTAGATGCACATGACCGAGTGAAAGGAGCCAGCCTGAGAAGGCTGCACTGTGTGAGTGATTCCAACTCTATGACATTCTGGGAAAGGCAGGACTACGGGGACGGTGGAAAGATCAGGGATTGAAGTGGGGGATGAACAGGCAGAGCACAGAGGGCGTTTAGGGCAGAGGAAGGACGCTGTGTGACACCATAGTGACAGATACGCGTCATCACGCATTCGTCCAGACCCACGGATTGTACACTATGGACTCTGAGTGCTTGTG